CTGTCATCCATGTAGCCTCTGTCCTTTAGCTTCATGTTTTTACCCCCATCTTCTGTTTCTCTTACATATAAACCATGGGATGCTGGGTCTGGAAAAGACAGAAACAAGCTAGGCATGCTGGCACACACCTGTAATCCCAGCACTTAGGAGGCCGAGGCAGGAGGATTGCTGTGAGTTTGAGGCCAGCATGGGCTTCATAGTAAGTTCCACTCTGGGCTATAGAGTGAAACCTTGCATAAATAATATAAATAAATTTTAAAATAAATAATCTTAACTCTTCATTTAAGAAAAGTAGAAACCAAGGCCCAGAGAAAATTATTGCCAGTATTGTTGTGTCGTGCTTTAAAACAAAGTATTAGAACCTGGGTCTCTAGACTCTTATACTTTTAAATTGAAATTTTACATCTTCACCTCATTATTCTCCTATTTCCCCATGAACCTTTCCTTCCAACAAGCCCTGTTTTCGTGTCCTCAGAAGCACTAGCTATTCTTCCAGAGGGCCAGCTCACAACCATCCATAACTCATGTTCCAGGGGATCTAGCACCCTCTCTGGCCTCTGTGGGCACGAGGCACACACATGCGTAATACATTCAGGCATAACACTTATATACATAAAATTAAAAAAAAATTAAATTGGCTGCCTTATTACATCTGCTTCATAAGAGCCATAAGACATTAGCAGTAATTTTCTCTGGGCCTCAGTTTCTACTTTTATTAAATGGAGAGTTAAGATTACCTATCTATCTATCTATCTATCTATCTATCTATCTATCTATCTATCTAATCTATCATCTATCAATCCATCCATCCATCCATGCATGCATTCAGGGTCCCACTCCACAGCCCAGAGTGTCCTGGAACTTACTACAAAGCCCACGCTAGCCTCAAACTGACCAGTCCTCCTGTGCTATATTGTAACAACGAGCTGCCAACAGACTGCTTTCTGCAAAACACGTTTTCTTTCCTAAAAATTACTCTTACATTTGTTTATTTTGTATAGGGGCAAGAGGGCACATGCCATGGCACACGTGTAGAAGTCCAGTTCCTGGGATCAAATGCAGGTTGTCCAGCTTGGTAACACATGCCTTTACGTGTAACTTTGCCATCCCTAAAACAGATTCTGGAGATCATGCCCAGCCTTCCATCTGAAGCCCCACCCACATCACTCACAGAGAAGCACCACGACCTCTTGCTTAAGAGTGGTGCTTGCTCCACTGAGCCTCTGATGATTTCCTAGTATCTAGTGGGTGTTCTGTAGAGCCCTTCTAATACATAAGCCCCCACAGCTCCTTCCTTAGCTCACCCACATTTGGTCAGTTCTAGGCTTCTTACATGGTGTCTTGTTACATGACTCTTTAGTGACTCCACATTGGCAGCCAGAAGGATCTTCCTTACATATGTCATTTTCATGCTTGAAGTGTCAATGACCATCAGGATACAGCCTGAATTTGTTACTTACAGAAGGGTTTATTTGGACCCAAGCTCACAGTTTGAGGGGCTGTAGTTTATCACCGTGGGGAGGGCATGTGGTGAGTGGCTCTGTGGCAGTGGGAGCATGCAGAAGATGACTGCCCCAATCTCAGTGGACCAAGAAGCAAAAGGAAGTCAGTGGGCTGCATTGTACCCTCCAGGCTCAACCCCAGTGCCCATTTCCTCCAGTGAGGCTTGGAGTCCCAAAGGTTTTACAATCTTCTAAAACAGGACCAAGTGTCCTAACACATGGACCTGTGGGTTCATTTCATATCCAAACTCCTTACATGGCAACCATGGCCCTTCATGACCATGATGCCTGTCCACCCTCTAGTCCCTCTTGCCCATCACTGTCTAGCCACAGCTGCTTGGTCCTCCATAGTTCTACCTCCAGCCTGTACCGGAGGCCCTTCTGCTTCCTGTTACCTTCTCAGGCATTCTCTAGTGCTTGGGCTGCTGGGGAAGCCCTTCCACCATGGTTCCATGGCACTCTACCCTTACCCCTTTAATTGAGCTTACCATATGGAGTGAGGTTATCACTCATGAGATGGTGCTCTCCTTGAGGTGGGGAAGTCATGTCAGATTCAGTCTGGTCTGGCCATAGGAGGGCTCACTAATGAAATACTCCACTGGCACCTCCTAAGGTGCCCTGCATGAAGAGCATGAGCAGCCAGGGAGGAATTGTGTTGAGACTGTTCTGTTCGGCCATTAGCACGTGCTTTAGAGGGGACAGGGTGGATCATTAAAAGTCTAAAGCCTCCTAACTAGGAGACAGAATTCTTCAAATAAGTTTTCTCATTTTCTCTTTGCTTTTATAACACAATATTACTCATGCATATTTTCTTAACCTAGGTTTAGTCTCTACTCTTTATAAAATATTCCTACAAAGAGGGATGGATATACTTGTACATTGGAGGTGGGCAAGATGTAGATGCTGTCCTCTGTGGGCTCCAGCAATGTTTCCACGGACACAGGAAAGTGCTCTGGGTGCTGGAAGACCTGAATTCCAAGGTGGCCAGCTACTTACTCACTGTGGCTCCCAAGTAGTTTCTAGGGTGACTGTGACAAGAGCCTTTACTCAGGCTGCAAACCCCCCGTGGGCACTACAGGGTACATGTTCAAGTCCAAAGCTTCACAGCTTTTAAGAAATCTGGGAATAGACTGGCAAGTGTCTTATTTACATGTTTGAAATGGGGGGGGCATTAGTTTCTTATAAGTTCTACTTTAATAAAGCAGCTACCTTCTTCTTCCTTCTCCTCCTCCTCCTCCTCTCTTCTTCTTTCTCTTCTTCCTCCTCCTCATCTTCTTTGTGTGTGTGTGTGTGTGTGTGTGTGTGTGGTGCACACACATGTGCACATCCATGTGCAGGTGCACATTGTGTTGGCAGGCCAGTGGTCAACTGCAGGTACTGTTCTCAGTCACCATCTTAGGTGTGAGGCAGGGTCTCCGCTGAACCTGGAACTTCCTATTTCTGCTTGGTTGGCTGGCCGGATGAGCCGGGGGCCCCCTGTCTTTGATCCTTAGCACTGTACTGATGTGTGCATGTGTCACTGGGTGCTGAGGAGCTGAACTCACGCTCCTGCAGCATGTACTTTACTACTGAGCCATCTCCCCAGCCTGGCTGCTACCCTTCTGAGCAAAAGATAGTTCTTCAGGTTAACACTGCATTTAGAAAAAAAAGATCATTTTTTTTTAATCACTGATGTGCAGACCTACTTTCTTTGCCATCTTTCAAAACAAAATCATATCTTAAAGTTTAAGTATATAAGAAATAAAACAACAACTGTACTGCCCCAATGAATCTTGAAAATTTATTATTTGGGAGAATATCAGATATTGATCTTTTGCTTTATAGCTCATGATAATAATCAGAAAATATACATTTTGAAATGAAGTCAAAAGAAAATAATTACATATAATACATATTACAGATTTCTTATTTATACATCAGCAAAGCAGTACTAAAAGCATATTTATGGCTCACAGTCAGCAAACATGGACACTTTCTGTCTAAAGCTGTAGGGACTCCAATCCTTCTAGGTCAGTGACAGACACTGAGGAATACACTGAAGGGCTGTCACCATGTCTGGCTGTAAACCTGTATTTTTCACTCTTTCCCCTCCCCCCCATATATATGCATATATTTATTGCCTTTTAGAGTTCTGCTGGTTTAATAGTATGCTAAATAGCCATCTGCAGCCATTTGGTTTCTAAAAATATATAAAATGCCCAGGAAGGAGCTCCTGCAGCTTTGCCGCCGCCGCAGCCACTGACCTGGCATCCAAGGTGCACTGGGAAATGTGAAGCAGCATAACTAAATAAATACTGATGGGCTGAGTTCCTGACACACTAACAGCCTTCTCCTGGAACTTAAAAACACCAGAGCAGACAGTATGAACATGCAACTTAAAAACACTGACATGATACAAAAAGAATACTTACGAGCTGGCTTCACCACAGTATCAACTAATCAAGACAGGCTTGTGTTAGAGAGGGATACAGAGCGTCATTCAATATCTATCTACAAATTAAGGCCTAATCTGTCGAAGGCAATGTCCAACGCTAACTGCCTGTCCCCGTCCATGCCTGAAGCCAGGTGTTTGTCCTTGTCCATCTGCTAAAGTCCTAACTTGGAAAGGTATTCCCTGACATACGAGTTATTTCTGAAGACCTCTTTGCTCTTACAAACGAAGCTGTGTCACCAGAGGACTGCACTTTATCTTGGCTCTGGGAGCAGTGCTGATCTATCGGTCTACATCACCACACTCCATATCTCATGCCACGAGCTGTGCCTTTACTGTACAGACCAGGCTGGAAATAGCTCTCTTTTATAACTGATTTCAACTAGAGGAGCTGCTGAACTGCCCATCCATAACTAACTGGGCATTCAGAGGTCAACCAACACCAACTGAAGCCTCATATATAAAATACTCGCTGTTCACTGAGACAAAAAAGGAACATTAACAGCCAAAATATAAAGGAAATGAAAACATGAAACACACACAAACTGAGGTAACCCACTGTGGGTGATTCTCTGAGAATGAGGATGCTCTGGAGGTCAAACAGACCAGTGATATTCAAATTAGTCACTGGTAAGAATAAAACTTGGAATATATTTAATACCTGTAGAAAAACTGCATAATATAACCTGCAATACTGATTAAAAAGACACAAAAATTTGTGATCTAATTTACTATTTAGAACCTGGATATTTATTTCCCCATATGCAAAATGTTACATTTGGTATTTTTTGAATCCTATTGCCCACACCCCTTTGAGAAGCGGCCAAAGACAGGGCTCTTAAGCCGATTCATTTGTAGTCACAATAGGTAAAAACAGTCACAGTAGACTAAAATATTTTCAGATGTTTCTACAGAAATTAGTTGTTTTCCCTAGCTAAAAAAGATTTAGAAAATATTCGACAGTGGTGTGCTTGCGGAAGTCCTGTTAACTGGTGACGAATCGCAGCTGCTCAGCCTGTTTGTGAACTCATGTGGTCACACCCCACCCGTCTGGGAGGCAGTGTTGTGTGTAATTAGGCCCATGGAGAGGAGCTGGCAGCTTCAGAGTTCTGAGGTTGTTACAGATGTTAACTGTGACACTGGTGGAGGGCCAGGACTGCAGGGAGCTGGTGGGACGTGCCACCTGCTTTGGAGTTCCTAGTTACACCGGCAGTTCACAACCACCACGTGAGCTGAGCACTGTGCGGCCCCGCCAGGTATGCCAAGGAATCTGCAGGTCCTTTTCTTTCTTTTTGAGACAGGGTCTCACACTAGACCCCATGCTATTCTAGAACTTGTCGTGGAACTTAGGATGGCCTGCGTCTTGTGACAACTCTCCTGCCTCAGTCTCCTGAGTGCTGGGATAATAGTCATGAACCACCATGCCCAGCTTTGTCTCTAATTAGTCATCGTAGAGCTTAACATACCTGTGGTTAGCATTTGGCTTTAAATCGAAGACAATCCATTTGTACACTGTTTTTCTTTGTGATCAAGGTTTAATTTAGCTGATCAATGACTCAGGATAGGAGAGTCTGAGAATAAGGCATGTACTGGGCATATGGAGTCACCACTGTCACAAAGAGTTACACATTACTTTGACTTTGAATTATCATTTTTAAATATACAGTGATAGGAAACAATTGTTACAAATCTGGAGCAGATGTGTACAGGCCGTGCTTCCTTCTCCAGTTATCTGCAAAGCAGTAATGGCAAGATCAACTCGGGAAGTCCCGAGACAGCACTTCAGTTGAGGTCTGCTATTTATTTATGTGGGAAGAGGCAACACTCATGGCTTTTGGTTCTCGAGAAGCATCTATTATTTCACAGCCATTCTTACGTCTTCTCTATGGAAACCTAAATAAAGCAGCATTCTCTGCTTCATTACACATTCATTAAACAACCAATAAGTCGGATGAATTCCAACACCCAGAGCTGCCTCCAGTGTTATCAAGGCATTGCCATATTAGTCCACTTCTATTTGATCGCATGTAAGTAGAACAGAGAATATATTCTCTTTAGAATTGGAAGCTACTTTCAGTTTCAGATGTAAGTCTTAGTTACATTGTGCCAATGTGCTCAGAGAGAAGGTAAACGGCTGCAAGGCATCTGACAGCATGTCTAAACATTACCTGTGAATGAGGCTAAGTCATGTCTAAACATTACCTGTGAATGAGGCTAAGTCACTGCACATGAGAAAAGTATTGACTCTTTTTTTTTGGCTTAATACACAAAATGATATAAATATAAATGGAGACTAATACCCTATAAAGTCAAACTTAAAAATAAAAACATACTCTGAATTTAACTTTATTTCCTTGGTAAAAAAATACCCAACTGCAGTGTTCTCTACTTTGGACTCTGTGACTAGAGAAAACGCAGAGCCCACGTTTTAAATCACGGCATGCAGCACCTACCCCTGCTCTGCATGGCATGACTACAGAGGAGGTGGGTTGTTCTGGAATATATCACATGACTCCCAAAATACAGCAACCCGATCCTCAGAGCTCTCTCCATGGGAGGCAGTAAGGCAGGAAGACCCAGAGTGTGTCAGGAAACCATGGACAGCCGTCAGCTGGCTGCTGGCAGTCTATGACCACAAACATTTTACATGAACAATTTACCCCATTAAAGTGTTTCTGTGATGTTATGTGGTAATTTATGTTTGGAAATACTGTAAAGAAACCATTAACTTCCAGACCAGAAAGAAAGCTGAATTACCTCACTTAAGCAAGGGTGAGGAGAGAGAGGCTCAGTGTTAACTGAAGTGCAGTGGTTCCGTTGGAGTCAGTCTGGATGGTGGAGCGCCCCACGAGGCTGTTTAGCTAGGCCAGCGCAAAGCTCGGATGGAGTCTGCCAACATGCACAGTCAGAATCCCACAATATTTAACATAATGAAGTCACAGGGTAAGGATTAATAAAATATTAAACAGCAACATTCATACATCAATCGGTTACATGGAATAAATTAAACAGTTACATAACTTTACTCTTAATTCAGGGTTTATTCATGTATAAACATAGATTAATACTTTCCTAATGTTCTCAGAACACTACAAATAAAAAACGAAGGCTTTGCATTTCAGCTGCTGGACAACATGTCAATACTGCGAAGTGTGAACAGGCTCCTCCGTGTTCAGCATCAGTGCACAGGCTCCAGGGGTTGCAATCGGGAGAGGAGACAGCTAGCGGCTTGGGAACAGACCCTCTGTTCAGTTGGCACAGACTGAAAGACTTTATTGTCCTTGGTACCTTGGCTGGATCCTTCCCCTGAAGACAATGTTATACATAGATGCCTTCAGGATTAAATCCAGAAGAGATGGGGTTCTGCAGAATACGAAGATTACTGGGGAGCTGCCGTGATGAACCAGGTCGCTTCAGGGACCCAGACTGGAATGGTGCCTCTAAACAGGAAACAGTCATCTGGTGAATTGGCTAACCAGAAAACTCATTAACTTCCTGCCCCAAAAAACTAGAGAGAGAAGACTATACTGGTAACTGCAGCCGGAGGTCAGGGAAGGAGAAGGCAGGTGCTCTGGGAAGGAGGAGAGGGCAGGTGCTCTGGGAAGGAGGAGAGGGCAGGTGCTCTGGGAAGGAGGAGAGGGTAGGACTCTGGGAAGGAGAGGGCAGGGCTCTGGGAAGGAGGAGAGGGTAGGACTCTGGGAAGGAGGAGAGGGCAGGGCTCTGGGAAGGAGGAGAGGGTAGGACTCTGGGAAGGAGAGGGCAGGGCTCTGGGAAGGAGGAGAGGACAGGACTCTGGGAAGGAGAGGGCAGGGCTCTGGGAAGGAGGAGAGGGTAGGACTCTGGGAAGGAGAGGGCAGGGCTGGGAAGGAGGAGAGGACAGGTGCTCTGGGAAGGAGGAGAGGGCAGGGCTCTGGGAAGGAGGAGAGGGCAGGTGCTCTGGGAAGTAGGAGAGGGCAGGGCTCTGGGAAGGAGGAGAGGGTAGGACTCTGGGAAGGAGGAGAGGGCAGGGCTCTGGGAAGGAGGAGAGGGCAGGGCTCTGGCCACGAACCAGTTCCCAAAGACCAGAGGGCTTTGCCCTGCTGCTTCTCCCAGTTGCTGAGGCCACAGCACACAGACGGGAAGTTTCAACTACAGAACAGGTGAGTGACAAAGACTCAGGAGCGGAGGGAACTGGGAGAAGCTAGGATGCGAATTAACACGGCCCACATTCCTATTTATATTTATACTTTGGTTAGCATTTAAAAATAAACAATATGACCATCCAAGTAAACAGATTCCCCAAATGTTACTGATGTCTTCGGAAACAAGAAGGATGCCACTGTAGGTGACATCAGGGCGAAAGGGGAAGGCCTTACCTGTCTCTATGTCTGCCTGGGAGGCCTCTATTTCAGTGGGCTCAGCTGGCAACACGGTGACCTTTGTCCCTGTCTGCTGGATGAACTGCTGGAGATTGACTTGACGTAGCTCTTTGGTCAACTGCTCCAGCTCCTGTTCCTTATCCTGGTTGGAAGACACCAGCTATTCTGTAACTGGGCTGTGTGCATCGGGCTGCCTTTGGGACAGACCACTGCGATGGGGGTGGGAGGGGGTGGGAGATGGGGCCTGCTTTCAGAACTCCCTGACACACTTGGTTTGTGTGGACACAGTGGCCGAAGAGGGTACTGCCCATCCTCTTAGACATGAGGCTTCCCTTCTGGATGTTGCCACGTACTTAAAAAATAAATGGTCTGAACGTGTCATCAAAAGGTGCTAGTTTCTATAGACCTCAGCGCTGCAACAATCTTGCTGATCTTGTCACAAATTGCCCTCTTAGATACTTTATAACTTTATAACCACTGCAAATGAATTTGGTTCTAAGTTAGAGTTCTTAGTTTTGATAAGATGTTGGAGTTGAATCTACTAATATCTACTTTATAACATGAGGAAAGCAGGATTCTCATGAAATTTTCAGTCTAAGGTTCTTACATCTACCACAGACAGGCCTGAGCTACAGAGCCCTCTCTAGGTCCTTGACTTAAACTTGCCCTTACACGGATGAGGTGCCCTGCTCACGGAGGTGCCCTTACCTGTAAGCGCTTGGTAGCCTGCCCCAGAGACCTCTCTACAGCTCTAATGCCGTTCTCCAGCCTCAGGCTCTGCTGCCCTTGGAGGTCCATCTCCCCCTTGACCTTTTCAATCTTTCCTTTCACCTCCTCCTCGTTGACTTGTGCCTCCTGAACTTCCCGGTGCAGCTTCTCTGCTTCGAGACCACTTTCCATAGAGTGGATCTGTGCCAGGTAGTCCTTCAGCTTGCTGTCACAGTCTGTGACTTTCTGCCGTATCTCCTCGAGCTGGTCCTGGAGCTGCTTCTCATTTTCTTGTTCTATCTGTAGTTCATTTTCCCAAAACTCCTCCTCCTCGATCTCCACATCATTCCTTTTGATCTTTTGCTCCAGACGGACAATTTCCTCTTCCAGGCTGGAATTGTATTTTTGCTCCCAGAATCGTATCTCTAGTTCACTGGACTCCAGCTGCTGCTCAATGGTCTGCAGCTTATCTGTCTGCAGCCGGATCAGCCTCCTCAGCTCTTCTGCTGTGGTTCTGCAGTTACTCAGCACCTTCTGCCTAAACTCAGTTTCTTTACCTTTTCCAAAAATGTCCATCAGCCCTTTGGCACCTCCTGTGAACGTCAGGGACTTCCTTTTAGGTTCTCTTCTCTTGATTGACTTGTCTACCTGAGGCCGCAGTTTGGCTAAGGGGGGCAAGCTCTGTCGGTACAAAGTTCTTTCAGGAATCCGGGCCACACTGTCTGAGGTGGGGCGCTCACTGAGGGATGGCCCAGTCCGACGCAAGATGAGCTGTACGTCACTAGCATACTGCCCCCACTTGTTTAAGGATATGATGGGGTTTTCATGTGGTGCCAAGTGCCTCTCAGTATCTCTCCATTTCTCTATGAGGGTGTACCTTCCAGTCCGACCTAGACAGAAAAGATCAGAGCACACTGTCACCGTGGGACATGTAATGATAAATAATGCAACAGACAATAACTTCTGACAACTGTTCTTGGGCAGCCGCATCAAAAACAGAGTCCAGGTCCTCTGACAGCTTGAGAAAACACAAGATCTCTACAAGCTGTAAGAGCATGCTGTTCAGATATGAATTGCGAGTATCCTCTGACTTGTTAGAAATTCCACTTTGTATTTCCCCTGACGAAGAATTTTATACTCTGGTCAAATATCTACGTGTTCAGAACTTCTGGGGAAAGACTGAACCAAGAAAAACGTTGGGAATACTTCCCCCACAGCAAAGAAGGGAGGGTCCCAGAAGTTAACCAGAGCTTCTAAAGCGGCACAGGTTGTCACTGTGTGGTGGAGAACCTGCCCCAGCTCACTGCAGTGCCTAGGCCTTGGGGCTCCCTGAGTGCTTGGCTGGCCTACAGCTCACACAGCTGAAGCTGCCCAGTAAAGATGGCCCTTCCAAACAGCTTCCTGTGGAAAGGGGAGTCTGAAGAGAAGTTTGGTTTAATCTTAATAATAATAGTTTCAAAGGTTCTTCTTAAAAACCCAAAATTTAGATTTTACTATTAGAGACAAAACAGTAAAATCATTTAAATAAAAAATATGCTTTACCTGCTAATTACAGAATTGAAATAAACTTTCAAAAAACAACATAGGGTCAGAAAGAGGGCTCAGTGGGTAAAAATGATTGTCACCAAGTCCAGTGATCCCTGGGACACACATGGTGGAAACAAAGAACTGATTCCTGAGAATTTTTTTTTTCTGGCCTCCATATGTGAGCTTTGGTATATTTCTGCCCCATCCAAATAAATATAATGCAAAAAAAAGACAATGTAATGTTATAGGTGTGAAAACATTTCATAAACATTTTCATTTAAGGTGGGTGCTATTTTGAGTTTGTTAAACATGTACCTCAGGGGCTGAGAATAAACATCAGTCAGTAAAACACGGGCCGATAAACATGAGCACCTAAGCTCGGAGCCCAGAACCCACAAAAGAGGTCAGGGACCACAGGTCCCACCTATGATCCCTGTGGGATCTGGGGCAGTGAGAGACTGTCTCAAACAAAAAGGTACATGCAGGCAACACACACGTATGCATATCTGCAACATGTACAAAGAAAGCGAACATCAGTAGTCACTGTCCTATAAAGAAACTCTGCCATCTAGCAATCAGAGCGGCATAGGAAACATCAGCAGGAGCTGCTGACAAACAGTGGTATTTTCTCCATTACTGGATCAATACATGGGCATCTGGATGTGTGGATATGAACTCCCCCAGCAATTCAGAAGCAGAACGTAAGAATGCCGAAACTGACATAGCTTGAATGTCTACAGTTTGTTTACCCATCCAGTTATCTATGGCACTGACAGTCTAAGCTGTTTGTTTAATAAATGTGACACAATAAATAAATAAATACATAAATGCAAAGAAAACACTGATTATAGTTTTAAATAGTCTCATGGCAGACAGGAAGCAGCTGTGGGGTCACCAGTGGAGTCACTCCTCAGATGAGCTCTGCATTCAATTAAGTATTTATGATACAAAAAAAGGCTTTTTAGGCCAAATTTGAAATAACACCATACAACATCTACCTTCAAGTTTCAGCTTCTCAAAGCAGGCCCTGAATTGAGTTATTGAGAAAGGAAAAATAGGGTAGTCAGTTTAGTTAAAACATTTGTTCACAGGTTAAGTACATTCTTCATTCTAAACAAAGAAACACACATCCGGTGAGTAGGACATGTTTTCTCCATGGAACCCTCTGCAGATATGTGGTTAGCACACAAAAAGATGCAGCTGTGGTACCTGCTCAGGTAGTGTGACCTTTGTAGACTTTTTTTCTAGGCATGCTGGTGTGTGCCTATTACCCTGCACTTGAATGGCCCGACAGGAGGGTCAAGGCCACAGGTCAAGGCCAGCCTGGTCTACATAGTGAGACCTCCTCTTTAAAAACTTCTCGTGGGACTCCTAACAGTGGGAGCAGGGCTGTCTCTGACCTTTGCTGGGTTTGGAACCCTGTTCCTCACACTGCTCACCTTGCTCTGCCTTAGTACAGGCGAGGTGCTTGGTCTTACTACAACCTGATGTGCCATGTTTTGTCCACAACCATGGAGGCCTGCCCTTTCCTGAATAGAAGTGGAGGAGAAGAGGATGGGGGTGCAGAGGGGAGATGGGGGAAGGACTGAGAGGAGAAGAGGGAGGGGAAACTATGGTCAAGATGTAAAATAAAGGAAAAAAAAAAACAACACCATTCAGGGAAAATTTTGAGTTGATGTCTTAATCTTCACTGAATCCTGACTTGTTTCAATCCAACAGATCATGAGAGGTTCTTGAAAGAAATCCTGAGTATGTTGGCAGAAAAGGAAATGCTCTAACTTCCCCTTCCACAAGCGCAGTCTCGGGGGGAAGGTGTTCCCCTGATGGAGGTCCAGCACTTCCAGCACCACTTCCACACAGTGAGCACAGACACGCGTCAGTGTTTAGCAGACCTGTCACAGTGCAGGTGTGCTGGCAACAAGTGACCTATCTCAGTCCCACACTGACCTGACATGCCTCTGACATAAACTGTTGACGAGGAGCTCGGGACAAGCAGACCTGCCACAGTGCAGGTGTGCTGGCAACAAGTGACCTATCTCAGTCCCACACTGACCGGACATGCCTCTGACATAAACTGTTGACGAGGAGCTCGGGACAACGAGGAACTGAGCACCTAGCAAGGTGCAGGATACAATTTCCTCTTAATCGTGTTTGCTAAATAGCAGATTTATAATGCAAACAGAAACTATGAACATTACTCGGTTTAGGGAGAGGGAGGTTTATGCCTTCATTGTGTTCCAAAAAAAATCTAAAGTAATGAATAAGTATGTATAAACTCTGATAAAATCCCTCCCCCTTCCTTCTGCACCCCATGTACTCCTATTACCTGGATGTTCTGCCTGAGTATCTTAGGCCAAGAACTATAGCTGAACCCTCTGAAACTGTGAACCAAATGCCCTCTAATTTAAATTTCACGTGTTTTTATCAAGATGCTGAGAAGCCAACTCATGCACACAGCATCACCACACCCCACAAGTACCAAGTACCTTTTTTTTTTTTTGACTTGACATATTTGACTTACCTATAGCTTGGGCTAAGGCTATTACAACCTCCTGGCAAGTTGTGACTTCAGTGACCCCACAAACAATCCTCTGAACTCCATCCACCCATACTTTAAGTTCCATGGTGCACTTGCCGGTTACCCAGAGGCCCTGGCAGTGGTCATCAGGATTTCAGGTCATGGCTCTGGCTTTGGAAACACAGAGAAGGCAGAATCTGCATTAGCTTACAAAAAAAAAAAAAAAAGGTAAAACATCGTTTTTTAAATAAAGAAAACTTTCCCATATATTATGTGAACTATAGCATGACACCCAATACCCCACTGTGGTAAAGTCCAGGCCTACTTTATGGACCAGAACTCTGCAGGGTAAATGGCTCCTACCACATGCCCCACCCCTGACTTACTCTCATAGTAACTTTTACCTGTGTCCCAGATCTAAAGACTTATCTACTTGCTCAGTGTCATGCTGGTGTTCTGCCTCTCTCTTCTCTATTTGTTCATTAGCGTAATGTCAGAGATTTTTTAAGTTCCTATCATTTTGAAGCATGAATGAGTAAACCATTTTAAACATACTTGCTATGCTATCCTACTGACCAGTGTGCATGCTTGTACCAGTCACATTCCCCCGGGGACCAGTGTGCATGCTTGTACCAGTCACATTCCCCCGGGGACCAGTGTGCATCTGTGTGGCAGTCACACTCTCCTGGGGACCAGTGTGCATCCGTGTGGCAGTCACATTCCCCTGGGGACCAGTGTGCATCCGTGTGCCAGTCACATTCCCCTGGCCTTCCCAGGCCTCTCTGAGCTGCTTACACCAGGGCTATAAAAACCAACTGTCAGTCAGGCGGTGGTGGCGCATGCTGTAATCCCAGTACTTGGGAGGCAGAGGCAGGCGGATCTCTGTGAGTTCGAGGCCAGCCTGGTTTACAGAGCTAGTCCAGGACAGGCTCCAAAACTACAGAGAAACCCTGTCTCGAAAAACCAAAAAAAAAAAAAAAAAAAAAAAAAAAAACAACTGTCATGATAGAACTCTCATCCAGTGACTGGTGGAAGCAGATGCAAAGATCCACGGCCAAACTCTAGGTAGAGCTCCAGGAGTCCAATTGGCGAGAGGGAGGAGGGATTATATGAGCGAGAGATATTGAGACCATGATTGGAAAAAGCACAGGGACAAATAGCCAAACTAGTGGAAACACATGAACTGTGAACCAATAGCTGAGGAGCCCCCATGGAACTGGATCAGGCCCCCTGGATAAGTGAGACAGTTGATGAGCCTGAACTGTTTAGGAGGCCCCCAGGCAGTGGAACTGGGACCTGTCCTTGGTGCATGGGCTTGCTTTTTGGAACCTAGGGCCTATACTGAGACACTCTGCTCAGCCTTGGTGTAGGGAGGAGGGGACTGGACCTGCCTCAACTGAATCTACCAGGCTGGGCTGACTCCCCAGGGGAGACCTTGCCTTGGAGGAGGTGGGAATGGGGGGTGGGTTGCGGAGGAAAGCTAGGGGTGGGAGGAGGGAGGACAGGGAAATCCGTGGCTGATACGTAAAATTAAATTAATTATAAAATAAAAATATTTAGAAAAAAAAACAGCTGAAAGAAATCATTCCCTCATGCATATCTGTCTTTTTCTCACTGCTGGTTTCCTGATTTCATTAAGTCAGAAGAGTTCCACCCCCAACAATATAAAACACACCCTTCCCAGTGTTCACTGTTTACCCAGTCCTTTAAAAACAACATGGCCACATTATGTGCCAGTCAGAAGACTTTACTTAACCAAGTACACTGAGCTCTTCCACTAACTGCACACATTGTCTTGCTAAAGTCAGTCCCACATGCTCTCTTCTTCCTGTGCTTTTAACCCTCAGCTCTCTCTGTGTGGTAGGGCTACACACTAAGCAGGTTTACTGTTCACTGTCTTGTGATCCGTCTTGATTTTAAAGGAGAATGATAGGCTTAGGAGAGGTAATCAACACTGATTTAATTAGGTGATCATTTGGATTAGTTTTAAGGTTTTTAACAGCGCTGACATTTTAGAATTAACAACATTAAAAATCTTACTCAAAACTCTAGACACCCACCACTCCTCATGCACCTCCCCCTTCACCAGACACCCCCATTCACCCAAAAAAAGAATTCCTGGTATTCTTTCTCTGGATAAAATTCAGGTATTGAAAATTATCAGACATGACATACTCCTCTGTTAAAGGCTCTGAACTGAAGCCTAGTTGATAACTATTTATTTTCCATTGAAAACCTTAGTCTTGAGAAAGCTTTGGATCTCACTGAAATCCTCTCCTTCCAAAGAAACCCGCCATGGGGACCCTCAGGCTCTAAGATGACCACTCACAGTTTTAAGTCCATCATGTATGGAGGTAACATCACAGTATGGCCCAATAGTGGGTCCCCAGAGTTCACGTCCCCTTTGACTGCAATGACCAACTGTCCCCAGTGCCTCCTTTCTGTGATTTTTCACTCTCAGGCACATCACCACCGATTTTTCCATCTGGGTGAGAATTGTTTGAACTTTTATTAACTAAGTGACTGCAATGAACACAGACACATGCACATCCATTCTCAGAGACACTGCTTATCATGCAAACTCACAGAGTGCTCATACTTTGAGCAGAGGCCTCTTACCAGTCTTTGTGTTTTTGTTCTTTCACACTTGGAGACGCAGACATGTGTAGGTGAACACAGCTTCTTCAGGTTTGGGGCTACACTGTAATCGTCTCAGCTCCCCTAAACATTGCTGTATTATTTGCAAACTTACCTGAAGAGCTGGTCTCTCTATCTTCCTAGCAGAAGCCCCCAGCACACCTCTCCAGGAGCTGAAACCTGAAGTGGTCCCCACACTTTCTGAAGTCCAGACCCCAGCTCTATGCCCCGTCCCCAGACTTGATGACAGGGGAAATCAGAAGGCCTACACTGTGGCTGCATGCAGGTGAGTGGTCACTGGTGTCTGAGTACCCAGGAAGAAAATGATGTGGACATCCCAGGTAGAACTTAGAATGGGAACAGTGACACAGTCAGTCCTCCGACCAACAGCACTGACACACCTGAGTGCCTGTTTTTCTTACAAGGTATCTACATTTGCAATTGTAGCATCTTAGTGTGGTGGTATTGTGTTCCCCAAAATATTGTGCACCCTAATAAACTTATCTGGGGTCAGAGAAGAGAACAGCCACAATATTAAACATAGAGGATAGGCAGTGGTAGCACACGCCTTTAATCTTAGCATTCCAGAGGCAGAAATCCGCCTGGATCTCTGTGAGTTCAAGGCCACACTGGAAACAAGCCAGGCTTGGTGACACACGCCTTTAATCCTAGGAAGTGATGGCAGGAAGCAGAAAGGTGTGAGGACCAGGAACTAGCAGCATTTGGTTGGTTCAGCTTTTAGGCTTTTGAGCAGCAGTTCAGCTGAAATTCATTCTGGATGAGGACTCAGAGGCTTCCAGTCTGAGGAAACAGGATTAGCTGAGGAGTTGGCAAGGTGAGGTGGCTGTGGCTTGTTCTGCTTCTCTGATCTTCCAGCGTTCACCCCAATACCTGGCGCTGGGTTTGATTTTATTAATAAGACCTTCTAAGATTCCTGCTACATCTGAGTTTTGGTAGGGCCTGTGGCTGATCTACATGGACTCAGGAGGGTATGAAGACGGTTCACAGAAGTGTTCTTTAGCTACAGACCACTGATTGTTGAAGATGCCTTCTGTGATCAAGTGCCTACATGTGTGGAGGCGTCTCACAAGAGCAGGCTTTCGTACCGGGCACAGGGATTCATGACACCTAGAGAACAGTGACCCTAGAAACCAGCACTGGTGTTCTGACAGGCACCTGCAGATGGGCCATGAGCAGCACAGGGAAGTCTGAGCTGCTGCAGACACATCCCCAGCAGACTGCACCAGGAACCACCAGCCTCTCACTTGTCAACCCCTAGACTGGCATTAAGCACCCTTTCTCAGCCACCTTGCTGAATGCTGTTTAGTACTTCCTGTGTTCCTGTTTCCCTGCTTGAACTGCCCCTCCCCCCAGGTCCAGCATGACGAGCTATCTAGAGTCTGATACCAAAGAGATGACACTTGGTATTAATGTAGCAGGATGCAGGCTGAATGTTTTTAACTACAGCATCTAAAATATGTGTTGATCACAAACTGTTGTGACAGGTTCACAGGCCACTGAGCCTAGAAAAATGGCGCTTCCTAGGTGAGTGTTACACAGAGCTCAGTGCTGTGTATTCACACAGACAGCATCTTTGTGATAACTACTGAGCAAATGTAACTCCTGGGACACGAGAAGCAAGCACAGCAGGAGCATATGCCAAGCTTGGGCCATTAACCAAAGAAAAGGTGCTAATGTCCCACAATAGAGAACTAGGATAACTCGGATTAAATGCAAATCAACCATTGGGCATGGGAAGTTGCTAATATTTTCACTACCATGACAGAAAACCCGCAGCAAGCAACTTAAAAGAGTTAAGGATTTACTCTGTTTAGGTCCATCATGGAGGGGAAGGCGTGGAGGCTTCATGGGAGCTCATGTGTGAGGCAGCCTGTTCACATCTCAATGGAGCAGGAACTCTATCTAGGGTAAAAATGGAACTGGCAAATAATCCTTAAACCCTGCTCCTATGGCCCCACAGCTGCTTGTTAGGCCTCATGTCAAAGGTTCCATAATCGTTCAGAGCAGTACTACCTACCGGCTGAGGACCAGGTGTTCAAACACATGGACCTGTGGGCAACATTTCACATTCAAACCACAGAAATGCCCCTTAAACATCCTGCTGAAATAGGCCACAGGCTACAGTCTTGTGAAAACTATGCCTGCATATAAAATGGAAATGTGCCCCATCTCTTTAAGGCATGGAGGCCCCTAGAAATGGTAATGAATACACTACAGCTTTGCTTGGAGGGGATCAGCTTTCCCTCATCATCTGGAAGGTCTTCACTGCCATTGCCCACCTCTTCTACAGTCAGGCTCTATAGTTCAGAATGATTAATAGGGTCAAATATTACAAGCTCAAGTGACTTCTGAATTATGAATTCAAGTTATTTCTGTACATGGAAATGAAAATTCTATCTTTCAAAAATTAGAAACTTCTATTATACAGAAAGTCATCAGCAATGAAAAATTTTGGAAAAATAAGACCACTGAAAACAAGGAACATTTTAGGTTATTGTATCAGGTATCTAAGAACAGCCAACAACCTTAAATTTTTTAAAGGATTCATATTTAAAATTTTGATCATATTTAGTATGAAATATTCGAGTCCAGATAAAGTTATCGGCATAAAAATATCAATCCTTCTATTAAGAAGGGCCTTTTCCTCTTAAAGTTTAAAAGGAGTTTCTATTACATTTAGTGTGTGTGTGCGTGTGTGTGTGTGTGTGTGTGTGTGTGTGTGTACACAGGTGTGGAGGTGAAAGGACACTTGTAGGAAATGGTTCTCTTTTCTATCGTAGGTCCCAGAGATGGACTCAGGTTGGAAGGCTGGCAGCAAGCTCCTTTACCTGCTGACCCATCTTGATGACTCCTTCCTTAACTTTGATGAATGTAACCAGTAACTCGTTTTTAATTTTATCTCTTACTTTGGCACTATGAAGGTCATTTTCTTTTTTTCCAAGCTCAACCTGGATAGTGTACGAATACATCCATTTTCCTAAGCCATACACGACACCCATAGCCACACTGGGATTAACTCCATACCCAGTGGTGTTAACCAGCAGCTCCTCACCGACATCAAACGTTTCTGGGAGCACAGTGCTTAAACAACTGAAGAGAGATGCTTCCTTGTGCATCAGCCCGTGCCAAGCTGGAGAGAGGGAGCTCAGGGCTTAAGAAGGATTGCTGCTCTATCATGAAGGCCGGAGTTTGGATCCTTGCACCATGTTAGACAGCTTGCAAATGTCTGTAATCCAATGCCTTGTTCTGGCCTCCCATGGGCACCTGAATACATATTTGTGCATATACTCACTCTTATAGATAGGCGGACACATACACACACAATTGTTTTTTAAATGGGTAAAATTTTGCTTCTTAACTAGGGTCTAAGTACAAATGCAGAATTTCCATGTAATAATTATAATTCAAAAATGAGCAAAATCTTTACGTTTATCCATATATTATCCATTAGATAAAGATGTTTCCAATAACTGAGGCTGGTCTCCAAAATTAGCTCTGCTTACAGGTCTCTTTCTACATATACTGACAAACTAAGTAGTTCATTATTCCCAGCCACCCCGAGTTACCTTTTGGAAATCATCTAATACCCCAAAGGAACACAAGAACCACCGTTAGCCTGGACTCTCTTCTGGCTGACAGAGCACTGCCACAGCAAGGGTGGGACTGTGAGCCCAACATCAACCCTGAAGAAGGCAGCAGGAGAAGAAAAACTGCACAGTGGGCACGTCCCTCCACGCGATGGGAACAAAGCAGGCCACACTCAGGAGCACACGGGCTTAGCCACAGCCTCCAGCGTGAGCTCACTGGAAGCAGTTCTCCACAGTCCCCACCTCTCTGGGGTCTGCTCGGACAGGAGCCGCTGTCACAGGATGCCACTGCTTTCAGCACAGGTAGCATTTCCCTCCTCCTCCCTTTCCTCCATACTCCAGCCTTGCTATCCCCACCCCTCAGATCACTAACCTGTCAACGAATGCCCCAGACAGTTGGCTCTCCCTGCTGAAGGCCTGGACTGGAGGAAGCCAGGGGCTCTTCATGGGGTATTTCCTGCAGGCACATGGAGGACGCTGTGTAGTCTATTATATTTGTATTACTCCATGACACGTCAGAGACAGGCCAACTTTCTAAACAAAGGAGGTTTATTTAGGACAAGATCAGGTAGTCCATGAGTTTGCCCTCTGGTGAGGTGATGGAAAGCACCACATAAAGACAAGAGCCAGGCAGACGGGCAGCAAGGATGCCAGATGGGGCTGGGCCCTGGTCAGAGTGCTTTAAACAACCCTCTTGCCAAAAATACCGGGGTCCTGGGAAAAACACCTTGTTTCCTTTAGAGGGCATCTCAACTGTGCCCCATCTCTTAAAGGTCCAGAGTCTCCCATCATGGCAACCCAAGGAACCAGGCTTCCAGCATACAAGTCTTTGGGGAACATGCAAATCACATCCCAGAGCCACAGTGGCTCAGAGCTCACTGACACCAACTGGGAAAGGACCAGAGCAATGTACAGCACCAAATGGCACTGCTGTACATATATCACAGAGCAGTGGCCAGCACAGGGATGTCAAGCAGGGTATTTCTCTAAAGAGTCAGGGGTAGAGCATTAGCATAAGAAAGCCACACATGGTTGCTGCTGATTTCCACACTGTTTGGTTTTACTGGTACAAACTTTTTTTTCCCTTTAAATTGCAAAGTTTTTGTCTTAAATTTTCTTATTTTTATTTTATGTGCATTGGTGTTTTGTCATGGCTGTCAGGTCTCCTTGAACTGGAATTATAGACAGTTTGTGAGCTGCCATGTGGGTGCTGGGAATTGAACCTGGGTCCTCTGGAAGAGCAGCCAGTGCTCTTAACCACTGAGCCAACTCTCTAGCCCCTGCACAAAAATTCTGAAATAAAAAAAATATAAAAATAATGGACTATTAGGACCCATTTCTGCAGTAGTATTATTAAAGGGAGCATGAGAAGCCGTCTGTCTTGTAGGGTCTTCTGTCAGGTCCCAGGATGCTCTACGGCCCTAGAGACAGTGTGAGTGGGCAGCCCCTCCCACTGCTGCCTGCACCCTAAAGCCCCTGTGAAGATTGCACGTGCCACTGCAGGGCTCTTTCACTAATCACTACGATGGGCAGTGAGCAAATGTTAAGTACTTCTACTGAATAATCTGCAGAGGTGACTGAAGGACAAGCACACTGTGGCAATTCTTCCTGAGGAGGAACTGTAGGACTTTTATGACCTCGTGAGGAAAAGCCAGCCAAGTGGCCACGTGTTCTTGTTTACTGGCTCAATCAATATGAACAGTAAGGAGTTAGCACTAAAGTCTTACTATGTGACAAAATGTCAGCCGGTAAACCGTCTGTCTGTCTGTCTGTCTGTCTCTAACCTTTTATCACCTGTCTGAGTACCATATGACATGAATTGAACAAGTATGGAAACTGAGGCACAGAGCACTCGGACACTCACCTAGGCTCCCCCTGCTAGTAAGTGGCAGGTCTGACAGTGCCAGTAAGCACTTAAGAAACGGACACATGTAACCACTAACGCTGTCTCAGGAGAGATGCACCAAGTCCCTGTGAGTGCATTAGCTTTGAAGGACTTCAGGGCCACTGCTGCTGCAAAATCAGATGCACAGAGCTCACAGCCAATGACCAAGAGGGAGTGAGGAACACATGCCATGGAGGTTTCTGATGGCACGGTGCCTCCCAAAGCCACTCAGCTCAGCTAAGCAGGGCACACACTAGGTTCTGAATCCAAATTCCACCTGACCCACAGTCTATGGAGGGCAAATGGCAGCATGGTAATAGTGACTCTCTAGATGGGAGAAGGCTGGAAATCGTATCCTAACAGTCACACATGCTTAGCGGTTGATAAAACTAGATTTTAAAAGAAACATTTTTATTGAAGTATAACATATTAGAGAAAACTCAGGAATCCTATGAGTGGATTTTGCAAAATGACTGCATCTGCCTACTCACCTCCAAGTGACCTTCTAGAACTGATCTTCTGCAAAGGCCACTACCACGACAGCTGTGAGCACACAAAGTTCGTGTAGTCTGTGAGCCCAGCTCATGCTGCTCTCAACAGCAATAGCTCACTCCAGCTGCAGTAGAGATGTTTGCTGCAATGGAGTACTTTGACTTCCAGATCCAGACCACCACAAGCATGCCACTGCACTGTAACTGCCTGCTAGCCCACTCTGTCCACTTGCCTCTATTTGCACACATACTCTGTACACTATCGCTACAGGAAACCCCTTTCAAATATAACCCTCCTCAAGACATTTCACATCTGTCCAACACATGACTCTGTAGCTTCTTCGAGCTGTATGTGCTACTGTCTTTCCCTGGAAATTCTTTGCCTCCTAATTCTCCACAAACTGAGTCCTTTGCCCCAGTGACCTACACAAGGTGGACGTGCACGCACGTCTGTGGACTCCAGACAGTAACTGCACAGATGCTGGTAAGGAAAAGCACAGGCACCCTGAGAACTGGGCGAGAGAACTCAGGAGTGTTCAGTACCACAGAATCCTTCCTTTGCCTCTAGTTCCTAAACCATACCATTAACTGATGCTACGGTGACTATAAACTCCACAGTGTGACCCTCAGAAATTACCCCCAGGTGGTGTCTAATGCATGGCCGCTACTCTCAGCTGTACTCCACGGCTTCCCCAGGAGCTTAAACAAAACCGTTTACTGCAGCAGATTCACAGATTTTTTTTTTTTTTTTTAACATTTAGGGAAATATCCAAGCAAATCATATTATAGGAGATAGAAAAACAATTACAAAAACTATGTCTAATATCACTTAGAATTGAAAAAATTAACTAGTATTGTATGAAACTGTCTCAGCAAAGATGTTCCATGTCACATAAGTAAAGTTTTTTCTTCCCTAAAAATAAGTTAGTCAAAATAGAGCAAATGTCACTAGTGAAGAAGCAAGACAAGCTCTGCTTTACCTTGTGCTCAAGTAAAAATGTTCCAAGGCATGTGAGGAAATCCAAAGGAAGTGACAGTGACCAGCACATAGGTCCCCTACATGAGTAGCTCCCCTGAGGGTGTGGAGACAGAGGCCGCAGAGGAAGTCCACTGCATCTGCCACATCTGAGGGGCACAGCTCCACATGCACTCTCCTCTCAGCTCCGTTTTCATATCTGCCATGTTTATTGGCAGTTGACAAACTATTGTTTTGTTTCTTACATTTACTTATGTGTGTTTGTGTGTACGTGTATCCACACATACATATGCCATGGTGCATGTAGCAGTCAGAGGGCAACCTCTGGCAGTCAGTTTTCCTCCTACTACATGGGTTCTGGGAACTGAACTCAGGCTCTTAGGTTTGGTGGGTGGCACTTTTATCTGCAAAGCCATCTTCTCAGCTTTGACAAATTCTTAAGTTTTTCTATGTTTCTCCTTTAACCAGAGAAAATATAAATTAAAATTCCTTGATTGATATTTATATTATTTCAGAAAGGATCCTTATTAAAGGGAATGTTCATAGCATATTCTGGAGAAAAGCTATCACATCCTTGTATTTTAGATGATAAACATTGTATACAGTGAGGTGGGTATCATGGCCCTAACAGGAGCTGAAATGTTCGTGCTAGTTGTCATAAATGTTCAGTGATCAGAAAACAATAAAAAGTCATAGTGTGTGTACACACACACACACACACACACACACACACACACACACACACACACCAAAACCAACCAACCAAACAAAAACAGCCAGCATTCATTTTAAGATCAGACATTAAAAATTTCAAAATACAGGCTAGAGAGATGGCTCAGTGGTTAAGAGAACTGGCCGCTCTTCCAGAGGACCTGAGTTCAATTCCCAGCAACCACATGGCAGCTCACAACTGTCTGCAACTCCAGTGCCAGGGGATCTGACATCCTCATATAGACATACATGCAGGCAAAACACCAATGCACATAAAAAATTAAAAAAAATTAAAAACACTTATAGTAGCCAGCAATTTCCTGTCTCAGTAAGATTCTACACTAAATAAAAATAGTAAATCAAATTTTGGATATTTTTAATTTATAGGGGCAACAGGTATTTCTATAGGGCTATACAGAGAGCTTAGAAATATGTACTTAAAAGAGAAAAAGCAGACACACACATCAACGCTTCACCACGGAGACAATGCTGCTGAGACTCTTCATATGCCCAGTGTCTAAGACTGCACAAGTCCAGCTGCTGCCCACTATGGACAGTCAGCTGGACTCAGGTTAGCATCTCACTGCACACTCTTGTGTGTATACACACACAAGCATGTTATGTGTGCATATGTAGGATATGTGTGCACACATGTGCTCTACTTTCTTACCTGCCACTTAAACTAGAGAACAGGGTTTCCATCACTTTCCACAGGGATGAGGAGCTTGTACACACAACACACACTTGTGAAATACATTGTCCAACTGAAATACTGCTCAAGTTTATACAGTCATTCAATTTAAAAAGATGCTGAACTTCTGATCACTGAATTTTCACATATTCACAATAGTAATAATCCACCCAAGACCCCAAGGGAAAGCACAGGCCTCTAGAAAACAAACCAAAATCGAAACCTTAGAGGCTGCACATTTGAAAACTGAGAACTTTCCAAAAGAATCTGGCTTGTGTTTCAGTATAATTAAATATTCAGAGGAAAAGACACAGATTGAATAATAAATTTTAGACAATGGGAGACAAATCACAGAGCACAACTTTGCAAAGCATGGCCTAACAAAATGAACTCACACACGCACCTCCACCATGGATATGCATTTGCCGCTCAAGAAGCAGGAAGAAGCATGTCTGATGGGTCGGCAGCTTACAGACAGGAGTCCAGGCAAAGGCGGTCAGGGGAGGGTTCCAAGGAGGCCTGGGCCCTGCAGCCTTCCCAGGCCTGGATCCTGCAGCCTTCCCACAATACTTCCCAGTCAGGAAGTCTGCTCCTCCACTGACCCTGAAAAAACGGTAGAAGCTTCGGGTTGTCTGTACTGCTTCCCAAACCCCACAGCACAAGTCCATCAGAAACAGCCATTTCCTCTTCTTTTGTTGCCTTCAGGGAACTTCAGGCCAACAGACATTTTCCTCCTCAGGTAAGAGGTCACCTTACTATGTGACCCAATAACCTTCTACCACCTCATGGATATTAACTTATTTTCCAAATTTACTTAGGAGTGGCAGAGCATCTAAGAATATTACATTGGCTAAGTTTGGAGCTCAAATGCAAAGAACCAGTTATTTGTTCTAGCTATTAATCTAGAGATATTATAAAGGACATGACAATTTTCTGATTTCTTTTTTAAATACCAAGACTACCGGAACTGGGGGGAGGTTCGGTGGGTAAGAACATTTGCTGTGCACCTTACCTAATAGCAGCTGGCCATGGCCACAGCCACCTCTAACAGGGCAGGCAGTACAGGCAGACAGGCTCCAAGTTCAGTGACAGTGAATAAGACAGTGATAGAGCAGGCCACCCAGGGAGTGCACAACCATATACACATGTGCACACACACACCACATACACATATACCCCATATATGCATACCACATACACAGCAAAAAAACAAAATCAAGACTAATAATATATTTACATTAAGAAAACAACTACATTAGCTTTCCATTGCATCAGAGAGCACCTCAGATAATTAACTTATAGAGAAAAGGCAATGCTGAATACAAGGTGAAAAGTGGGGAATACCTGCTGACCTCACAGTCTCTCAGGGCCCCACCAAAGATCAAAGAACTCCCTGGCCTCATCTCCTTAAAGTTACAAACCCTAGTAGCACCACTCAGAGGATCAGCCTTTAAAAACAGACTTTGGGGGTGGGGGCATCAACATCTACCCTATAGCAAGAATCAAAAAAGTCTAAACATTAGAACACCAACACAGAAGCTATTCTAAATAAGTACTTAGATGTTCAGAGAATGTTCAGACACAAGAAATGCTTAGGACCCATCCAACTGTTTTCCTTTTTTTTCTTTTCTCTCCTCCCCTCCCCTCCCTTCCCCCCTCCCTCCCTCCCTCTCCCTCTCTCCCCCATGATTTTTCAAAACAGGGTTTCTCTGTGTAACAGCCCTGGCTGTTCTAGAACTTGCTCTGTAGACCAGGCTGGCCTGGAACTCAGAGATTCCCCTGCCTCTGCCTCCCAAGTGCTGAGATTGTGACTTTCAATAAATGATGTGATTCATGAAGTCTGTGCTTATTACACTAGCACAGGGTCAGACATTCTGTAATGTGGTTATGCCATGAAGACACAAATGACAAATGCACTCTTTCCTATAAACATTTGATAAAGACAGGTAAATCACTGGTTACGAGTTTATTTAAATAAACCCACTTATGAAGTAAAAATGAAGAAAACACAAAATCCATGCCTTTATCTCCAGGTCATAGGTTGTTTCCTTAGAGTTACAGGGCCAGAATGTTGAATGGAAATTTCTATTACTAAAAATGTCATGCCAGCCATGGTGGTGCACTCATTTAATGCCAGCACTCAGAAGGCAGAAGCAAACTGATCTCTGTAAGCTGGAGGCCAGCTTAGTCTACACAGTGAGTTCTAGAAGAGCCAGGGTCCTAGAACAGGGTCTCACAGCTACACAGTGAGATCCTGTCTCAAAAAACATTTTTTTAAGTCCGTAAAAGATGACTTGGAAACCATCAGTCACCAGTGCTGCTGACACACTGGAGATTTAACACAATGGGCAACAGGTTGTTTAACATCAGAATCATATGGATAAGGCCTTCCAATTTTTCAGCTTAGAAACCTCAAATGTGTTGCCAAGTGTTAAATGATTTATGTAACCCTCACCCACACCCTCATCAAACAAAAACCTCTAAAGATTCCAGCAGCAGGGGTCAGGAGCTGACCTGCTCAGGAGCTCAGGCGATCAGAAGTAGATAGGGAGCTAAGTGTGGACCTCAGTCTTGGAGCCCCAGGCCTCTACAGAAGAACAACAGCATGGCATCACAGCGACCACCTACTCCCAGACCCTGAGATTCACAGCCACCGCCGACTCCCACAAGCCCAGACTCATTGTAATACAGCAGAAGTTAAATGAAGAGGCCATGCCCACCTTGTAAGGAAACCAGAATGGAGATTACCCTATCAACTCAGCAAAACTACTCTTAGGCTGTTATGACAGTCACCTTACAGATTCCCCTCTGACCCAGACTACAACAGCACAGACCAAACTTCACAGCAACAGGGACTCCATGTTCACAGCTGACCACAGGTGCAGCCACAGTGCCCACCAGGTTCTAGGTTCTAATCCCCCACATTAGGACAACTTCATTTTTAAACTGGTCAGAAGCAAATTTTAGGGCTATAAACATTTTCTGACTGATACAGAAACAAATGACAAATGTTGGTAATGATGTGAAGACACAGGAGCTCTTACTCTCTCCTAGCAGAAGTGTAAACTGATACAGCTGTCATGGAGATCAGATGGGGAAACCACAGCTATGTCCACGCTGGAGCGTGAGAGCGCAGGCATGAGGGGAGTCCCTGAGCGCCCTGCCATGGCGACTCAGCTCCATGCTCTCTGTAGGTATAAGTAGTCTTACTGCTCCCCAAACTCAAACTCATTTTCCCAGTGGGAACGATCAAGCCCAAACCACAGAACGACATCCCTCGCTCTTCTTTTCTGGGAGCCCTGAAGCTCCTGTGCTTTCCCTCCAACACCTGCTCCCCACGCTCAGCACAGAAGAGCCTGCTGCTGGCCGCTGACATGCAGAGGAGGGAGTAATGGGGAGTGGGGCCAGAGCCACACACAACCAAGTACTACAGCATGCTTCAGAAAGCTCACTGTTT